GCCCTGACTGCCGTTGATCCGGCTGATGCCCCTCCCCCTCCCCTTGTCCCCGCTGATATCTGGCTTGCCCGCCACCCCCCCGCCTGGGGTGCGCACTGGCGCCTGGGTGTGGTGTGCCTGGCCGCTGTGGAGGCCTTGGATCGTGGCCGCCGCAGCCTGGCGGCCAAGGTGCTGCGCCGCCGTGGCGCCCTGCCAGCCCAGCCCGCCGGACCGCGCTTCACCCAGCTCACACTCGGCGGCTTCCTGCACCAGCCGGCCTCGCAGCCTGCTGCCGGCGCAGCCTCTTCCAGCGACGGCACTCATGACCCGCCGCCCCCACCACTGGAGGCGGCTGTGCCTGGCCCTGCAACCCTGCCGCCCGCAGCCACGCCGCTGGAGGCTGCCCGCCGCGCGACGCTCCAGTCTTCTGGTCCCTTCTTGTTTGTTTTGAGGCCCTGGGCTGTGCCCCCGCCTCCTGGGTTGGCAGCCTCGGCCCCGCCCACCCACCGTTAACCCACCGTTAAAAAGGCTGGGGACACACAAGCCGTGCCCACTAGCTCTGGACAATATTGGTATGAAACAAACCAACAGGGCGGCGGAGCGCGGGGCTGCGAGGAGCCGATCGGGCACAGCGGGCGGCAGGGAAAGCGGAGGGTGCCTGGGAGCCAGCCCAGTGACTGTCAGAGAGGTGTGAGGAGGGGAAACGGGGGGCAAAAGACAGGGGAAAGAGGGGGATCAAGGGCCAGGACCGCCAGCAGGCGGCGCAAGCGGCTCAGAGACGCCACCCACCCCGGCACAGAAGCTGGGGGAGCGGCCAGGCGGGCGGGCGGGGACCGCCTCAGAGGGCAGGCGACACAGGGGGTCAAGGCTCAGGTCAGATCACACGGGAGAAGGGGGCAGCCAGCTGCCAACGAGGAGAGGGGAGAAAGGGGGACGCCAGAGAAAGCACACCGAGCGGCAACGCGGCAAGCACAACAACGCACGAGCAGGCACAGGCGCACAGGCACTGCAGCATACTGCCGGCGGGTTCCCCATGGCGTGACTGCGGAAAAGCGCAACCACCTCCATTGGTTCCTAGCACACCTCGCACGGCGCAACAGCCAGCCAAGGCCTGAGGGTACCACAGCCAGGCAGCAGCCGACAACGCACGGGCAACCAGACGCAAGCCGGCACAGGAGGCGAGCAACGCGGCAGCAAGGCGGCAGGCACAGGGCAGGCAGGCAGAAGACGGGCAAGAGGGAAGACGGACACGAGAAAAGGCGTGAGGAGGGCACAGTCAGGAGAAAGGCGGGGAAGGGCCAGGCGGAGCTGACAGACGCTCAAGCAGGGGGGGAACAGGAGGGGGGCGGAGCTGAACGCGGCCGCCGGCAGAGAAGAAAAAGGGGTGGGCTGGGCCAAGGCGGCCAACCAGGAGGCGGGGGCACAGCCCAGGCCTCAAAATCAGCAATTGCCTGCAAGAAGGGACCAGAAGACTGGAGCGTCGCACGACGGGCAGCCTCCAGTGGCGTGGCTGCGGGCTGCAGGGCTGCGCCTGGCCCTGCAGCGGGTCTTGAGTGCCGTCGCTGGAAGAGGCCGCGCCGGCAGAGGCTGTGAGGCCAACTGGCGCAGGAAGCCGTTGAGTGTGAGCTGGGTGAAGCGCGGGCCGGCGAGCTTGGCTGGCGGGGCATCACGGCGGCCCGCACCTCGGCCGCCAGGCTGCGGTGGCCACGATTGACTGACCGACTGACTGAGATTACAGAGAACCGGGCCCTTTAAAGGGGCTGGGGGCACACAAGCCGCGCCCACTAGCTCTGGACAATACGAGTATGAAACCAACCATCAGACAGGGCGGCGGAGCGCGGGGCTGCGAGGAGCCGATCGGGCACAGCGGGCGGCAGGGAAAGCGGAGGGTGCCTGGGAGCCAGCCCAGTGACTGTCAGAGAGTCGTGAGGAGGGGAAACGGGGGGCAAAAGACAGAAATTGTGTGTGTGTGTGTGTGTGTGTTACAGGGATTGGGCACATTGGGAAATTGACTGCGCTGTGACGGCTACCGCGGCATTGCCGTGGGCACACTGCCGGCCAAGCTGTTTGCCAGCATGCTTCAGAGCAGGTTTACAACCCACACTGAGGCGGCGGGCATTCGGGCATCTGGCCAGGCGGGGTTCCGGCCAGGGTACGGTTGCCGTGACCAGCAGCTTGCACTGCGAGCCATCATTGAGCGGCAGCGGGCGCGTGGGCAGCCGTTGTATGCCTGCTATGTGGACTTCAAGCAGGCCTTTGATAGGGTCCCGCGGCATCTGCTGTGGCAGAAGCTGGAGAGCGCCGGCCTGGGTGGCTGGGCGCTGCGGGCGGTGCAGGCCCTTTATGCGACGGTTCCCATGTGCGTGCGGGTGCCTGGTGGGTACACACCCACATTTCAGGCCACCTCAGGGGTGAAGCAGGGCTGCCCCTTGAGCCCTATATTGTTCGGTCTGTTCCTGGATGACTTCGAGTCCGGGCTGGTGCAACAGGCTGCGGCCGCGGCTCTGCCTCGCTGGCAGAGCGGGGAGTGCGTGCCGCCATTATTTTACGCTGATGACCAGGCCTTGCTGGCCACCACGCCGGCAGGCCTGCGTTTCCAGCTTGGTTACCTTGAGAGCTACTGTGCCGCCTGGGGCCTGACGGTTAACACCAAAAAGACCCAGGTGGTAGTGTACACCACTGGCGGGGCTGCTGCCACGGAGGAGCGA